CATGAGCATGTCTAGCTTGTGTGGTACTCCCAATAACCCCCTCCCTATCCTGAACCGCCACAGTAGGCAACACTCTCGCAGCATCAATCCTCTCCTTAGTGATCAAGTACGTCTTCGGAATACCCCCTTCCTCAACCATCCTCCTTTGCGTAACCGCCACATCTTCCCCATCTGCCTCCGCTAAAACCATCTTCGCAACCGCTTTTCCGCACAGCGTTCCATTAGGCATCCCATGCCCTGTATACCCGCCACAAAGCCACACGCCTTTCTGACCAGGGACTGGCCCTACCCAGGGATTGTTGTCCCGCGAGTACCCCATGATTCCCGTCCACTCGGCTGCTGCTTTCAATTCTTCTAATGCCTCCGTCTCTCCGTCCATCGCCAAAAGCTTGAGTAGTGCTTTCCGTAGATAAGCCGCCGCATCTTCATCCACGACACCATCGTCCGATATGCCCACAGACGGAAGTTTTCCTGCGCCACGGCCCCCCCCAAACATGAGATGTCCACTTGGGTTTGGAACTGAGTGGAAGGGGCGTTGGACGAGGTAGTCGTCGTTGTTAGCGGGCTGATTTAAAGCGCCTACCATACCGTGGGAGTGCGGAAGAATGGTAGAATTCTTTGGGGGAATAAGGGCGGACATTTCCCCGCGGACGGGGACGATAAGGTCAGCGAAAGAGGGGAGGAGGTGGGAGGTGTAACCGTTTGTGGCGAGGATGAGGGTTGGGGTTGTGATGGTGCCGCGGGGGGTTTCTAGGGTGTATTGAGGTTTGGTCTTGCTTTCTTCTGATGAAGAAGTGCGGATTTGGGTAACAGGTGTAGTGGTTTGAAGGTTGAGTTGGTTGGATTTGATAAGACTCTCCAATATAAAGGTTACGAGTTTGTAGGGCCAGAGACTACCGGCGTCTTTAGTTATTGTGGCTCCTACACAGCCTGAACCGATACGGCATTTGTCCATCTCAGCCCTATCTCTTATCACAGTCACCCTTTCTGCGATCTCCGGCGCATTCTCTTTCAAAATCGCGACATCTTGTTCAGCTTGAGCCATAAGCTCTTCAGTCCAAAATGACCGGCAACCGTCTACGGTCCGCCATTCGCAGGGCACGTTATTCTCTTCTATGTAGGTTCTTACGGCTTCGACATTTTTCAGTTCGAAAGCTGCGACGTCGGCGGTACGGTCGAAGAGGAGGGGTTGGCAGTGTCCACCGTTCTTTATATCCCTATAAGCTGAAGCTACAGACAACGACGCTAGAGAGAATAACCCACCCTACCAGTAGCTCCCCAACATGCTTCTCTCGCCTCGAGCATTACAATGCTCTCACAATTTGCTCGTCCATCTTCTACCAGGAAGCGGGCAATTGATGCGCCAGTGATACCGCTACCAACGATTACAATATCGGCGGAGGAAGGGAGTTCAGAGGTTGTCCGATGGCCTAGAAGGAATTGGGAAGGTTCACTATGCCAGAACGACGCCGAAGAAATTGGCGTGGGTAGAGTTGCGCGTTCATGCTTCATCTGGATCGACTGTGATGTTGTTGTCGTGGTTCTAACGATGGAGGGGTAATGTAGCAGGGAATATTCAATTATACTTGTACTTTTTGAGTAAAGAGTAGTTTCTCCTTTAATCCCAGTTCATCCATTCCCACCTAGACATGAACCATATTACGAGAGCCTATCGTAGCACTAGGTGTCAGCTTTCCAATTGTCCCGCAAACTCTCATGGAATTGACTTGGACGTGGTAGAGTTTAAACGGGGATGGGATGGAACACGCAGTCTGCGGGGGTGTTAAGCCCGACGACAAGCGCCTGGGCCATGGAGCAGTTTATCGCGACATTTACGCACTGGCTGACCGTGATGTAGTCTCTCTAGGCAGTAACTTGATTTGATTTCCTTAGTACTTCAACTGGGCGCGAGGCGGTGGAGGAAACGGACTATGTAATGGTATAAAAAGCCATTAGATTACTGCCAAACCTCATATAATCAACCAAGATATATAATTCATGGGCCAAGAAGATAATCCGTACCCTTACGCAATACTGGCTCGTTTCCTCTCAAGAATGTTATTCGTAATTTAGCATAGATTGACTGCGAGCTGTCGTTGGAGAGGCACCTCTAATGTGGTCACGTAAGAACACGTTCATCTCTTCCACCGCGTTCGTCAAGAGGTTTGTGGGGCCAATTTTTCTTGTGAGCTCTAGGCTTAATTTGTAACATGGAGCTGATACTTATTCAGAAGACACTGGATTGCAGAATTGTAGGCAGTTTTGAAGTGTTCGGTAGTGAGATCGGGCTAATTCTTGTTAAAAATTTCTCATATAATTATAGTTTGAATAATTACATTCATCATATGAGGTAAGCATCAGTGGTCCAACGGTAGGATAATTGCCTTCCAAGCAATTGGTTCGGGTTCGACTCCCGGCTGATGCAACAAGTCTTGTCTTTTCTTTTTTTTTTTTTTGGTTTTTTTGCGTTTCTCATTTTCAGGTGGTGCCCTTGACTCTCGCAGCAAGAGTTATTTTGAATTCTGACTCTGTCCGGAGTTTCTTCTCTTGTCTACCTTCATTTTACCGTTTTTTTTTTTCAGTTTTTCTTCGTTTCGAAACTATGGTCTCGCAATGTCATTCATGTTTCCTCGCGTCTATAGTCCTTATCTCTTCCCATATTCCTAACAAAGTTTCAACCTGCATTAATTGTAAAAGCAAATTATGGTCACTTGTTCTGCGACTCAAGTTTAGATTCCATCCATGGTACGTTTCATACATCTAGAGGCCCGGGTTTCACAAAGAAGCAGAGCCGTGAAAGTCATATCTGTAAGCCCAAGAAGCGGGGTAGCAAGTCATTACGATATTCGCCAGATTTCCTTCCGTGGAACAGTCGCACGAAGCCTTGGAAGCAAGGCAGCAATCCGTGTGAGCACCTTTCACCGGGTTTTTATGCAGCCCAACACTGCAAAAGAACAACCACAGGCCCACAATCCATCCTCTTTTCATCCAGGAAAGCTCAGCATTTAAAGTCGATCGGGTCTGGCTGCTCGGCTGGATGCGTTGTCGCTGCAGACAAGTCACCCCACCATCTGCATCCACCGAGTCGGTGAAGACAAGCTCTGCTAACAAAGTTCCAGTAATTGTGACCTCCTAGCGAACCTGATCAGACAGCCGCGGCATGGTGTTATTGGCTATAGTCCTGCAATGCTCACCGACCCTCTCTGCGAGTTCCGTGACCCAAGCATGTGGGACTACTTGTGATATGCACTGCTATCTCTTGTCCTCCAAGCAGGCCTTACTCTATTAATCCTTTATACTTAATACAATGAGGCAGCACGTAGAGGGCCCTGTTGAGGAACATGAGCCGCAAATTTGTCCTCAGGTTTCTTATTCCTCCAGGACTGCTATTTTAGTAGCTATTCCTCCATAGTTTCTCTCTCTTTGGACCTCAGTGGCAATCCTCCGCTTTGTCGACTCACCCTTTCCAACACACTCAAATACTCCTCTGTCGCTTGATTGATTCAAGCACAGTTCATATTACTAAATATAATGGCATCTCACCCATCTTCACAATACCCATCTCGACCACCTCTCCGTACATCAGCCATGCCTTCCTCTCAAAAATCCCAATCTGGCCCTCTCTCTTCCGGCTACGCATCCTCCCTCTCTCCCACATCTACCTTCTCCTACCACGGCGCCCAAAGTCCCACCTCGCCCGTCGAAGAATCCTTTTTCGGCGCTATCGCATCTAAAATGCGCCGCGGGCGCTCTCGAAGCCGCCCTCGAACTCGGGGCTCCCGCGACCGGTCAAAATCCCCTATGATGCTGCCTCCAGAGCATCTTCCGTCCTCTAGCAGCTCTGCGCAGGCAGCTAGTCCGACGTATATGGCAAGTAGACCCCAGCAGCCGAGACATGTGTCCAGTGCGAGTCAGAGCTCTGTGATGTCGACGGGGAGCCAGCCTTCGCGGCCAAGTTTGCAGGGTTCGTCGAGACAGAGTAGTGATATGTGGAGGGGAAGGCATTCGAATGATTGGTTGTTCAATGGCTACAGCGTCACCGGACATGCAAAGGAGATTCTCAAGTTTGGAAAAGACTCCCGTGCATAATAAGAAGACGAGCGTGGAACGTTCTACTGTTCGCGAATGTTACAGGCTGGCCCCTACTGGTTGTACTGGTTCGGACAAGATTTCTTAATGAAGTTCCTTCGCACCCTTTGACTGCGATTATGATAAGACGATAGGAGGGGATATGTCGGGAAGAGTAATAAAGTGTTCCGAAATTGGTCAAATATCGCTGGTTCGAGTTTGGGGTCGTCTTTCCTTGACGAATGTGTTTTTGGAGTCGAGATCTTGCATGTCGGTCTTAGCAGCTTGGTCTGTCATTTCCTACACCATGTACATTAGCTTTCATCAAGACAATATCAAACTGGCGAAGCAAACTCGGTCTTTGGTTTACGGATATTCAAAACACTCATAAAGCTATTCAACCCCGGGCTTACTTACCATTGATGCTTACGTCCTCTTTGAGCAAGCAGTAAGTCGCATAAAGTGTAGTAGATTTTTGTGAACAAATTCAACATCTAACAACGTTTATTTCTGTTGATCTAAAGTAGCAATGGATTTGCTATTATTATTATTTACTCTAGTTTTATGTCCGGTACGGTTCTACAAGGACCCCGCAGAGTCGACTATCTATTTTGGATAACTCTCTATAAGGAAAAATTATGTTTACGCCTTAATTTCCTGTCTAGGCAGGCAATTCTCCTTCCTTGAAGCAGTGAATTATTGATTCTCTTCATCCAATAAAGGAAGGCATAAATTTATCTGTATCTGCCTATCCTGTTCCTTCCGAATCACACAGCTATCGACGCACTTGAAGAACATAGAGTCAAGTCTCAAGGGTCCCACATAAAAGTTGCGTATTCCCGTCCTTACCCGCCCCCTCTCTTCCCGCCAAAAAGCAACCAACCCACCATCTTCAACACTGTTTTTTGTAAAAAAAAAGTCTAAAAAAGAAATGACCCACAGCCGACTCGAACGGCTAACCTTCAGGAAGCTCCGGTATAAGAAAATCTGGAATCTGACGCGCTACCATTGCGCCAGTGGGCCTGTTATAAATTGATGGAAAATTTGCCAAATAACATAAATTTATAGCAGATAATTTAAGTGGGGCGGAGATTATAGAGATGTTATGCCATCCCACCATGAAGTAACATGCTAAGTTGGATTACCGTAATCAGCAAGTGAAACTGATAAAGAAGGCGGCTGGGTCTGTTTTATTGTTGAATTTTCGACTTTAGTGGTTTCTATCTGAAAGATTGACTTGTTAGATTTTTCCACTAGACACTAGATGGTACCGCAAAAAGATTATATCGATTGCGAAAGACTGAAAACATCATAGAAAAAGCCCTAATTTTGCAGGATGGAGTATTTATTTCTCATTGCCACGTGGTCATGCATATCGGTGGACTTTCCAAGTCGAAACTGCAATACCTCCATCTAAGTTGTCTTTAGCAAGCCAACATATTGAAGGATTCAGATGGATGTAGACGAGACCGCGAGCTTTTTCGACTTCTCAACGTTTGTAGGTATCTTCACTTCCTCTCTGCTATTTAAGGCACTATGTTCATCTTATTGTTTCCTAGCCTGAGAGAGAGGCAGCCACTTGGTCGGGAGGATGGGCAAGCCAACCGCTTCACCTCTTTGACGATCTCCCTAAACATGCTCTTATCCTACTCCTCCCTTATATCGCTTATATACCGCCCACTTTCCTCCCTTATCTCTACTCTACCGTTGCTCTCTCTCGCTCCACCCGTTTTTAACCCACCCCCAACATCCTTCATCATGCCAGCCATCCTTTCCCCTCCTCTATCCTCCTCTCTCTCATCCCCCTCTCCCTACTAACCTCTCCCCACGTTCCCCAGCGCCCTAAACATTTACTTTAGCTTAACATGATTTCCCTAATACGATAATAAGTCGAAGCGGTTAATTGCTATAATAAGTGGATATTCGCTACCATTTAAATAGTATTTTCCCCAATTATGTGAGATAAATACATATCCGATCACTACCTGTACTTAAAGTCACTAATAATAGAGAGAGAAACAATTACTACGACCCATCCGGTTACCACGGAAATCAAAGAGAATATTGAGAAGATTTGAACGGTAGCTAGAAGAGCTGGGGGAGGACGCTGAAGAGGCCGCCCTACCTGGCGGATGGGAAATCTCCCACTAGAATGGATCAACTACACAACCTGGTACGCAAAGTGATTAAAAACATGAGGTTGCGGAAAGAGAACACCATAGGCTAAAGCAGGACAGAACGTTCCAGTATCTATCCAGGGGACGTGGGTGTCGACAAACGAATTTATGGAAGGAAAAGTGGCAGCAGAAGAAGACCGCTACTGTAAAGCTGGCCGATGTGCGGCCGCCGCGTCAGAGGGGTGGGTAACTCAAAGACTCCATCTCTACGATGACCTTTCCAAACACGAAACGACGACAATATTGCTACTCTATACGGAAGCTCCTCAACTGGATGGCTGGTTAGCGAGGATTGAGTTCCAGAAGCCACTTCAGGATGCCCTTGTAGGACCAGACAGCAAACACTTCGACGTATACTCAACTTCTATCCTGATCACACCCAACCTGGAGCGAACCCCCTCCTAAAAAATGATACGACAGGGTTCCAAGAGACCCTAAGGAAGAAATAACGGCGAAGGCTGCCGTACAAATAGCTACTAGAAACGAACCTGTTTGAGCAATTCAGAGCTGCAAAGGATATTAAGAAAGATGATATAGGGATTGGGCCCCCTTTCAACTAACCTCCAACGTATCATGACGGCTTCTCTGTTGCCTAAGTGGCAATGATGGCAGATGTGGAACAGTTACTAGTTGTATAGGTCTAGCTGCTGTAACCCATCTTAACTGGATCGGAATAGTAAAAGGTGAGGAATGGACAAATATTATTATTATGATTCAATTTTAACGTGCTACCTGGTTCCCATTCGGGTCTATGAACACGTAGAATCAATGTGTAGAGCAAAGTAAACCCGACACTAGAGGAGTCTCCCTCCAACATCCAAAATCTTTGCCTTTTCCTCAACCTAAACCATTTTAATATAGCTATGGTGAGTTATTTCACCAGCCACTAGTTGTTGTTCCCTATCTGCCAGTGCTGCCGCTCAGGCAACAGAGAGATTATTATGACACGGCCGGGGTTAGTTGGAAGGGTGCCCAATCCCCTGTATTCTCTTTTGCAATAGCCTTTGCAACTTAGAACTGTTCCAGAATGATTGTTTCTAGGAGCCATTGCACGGCTGCTCTTGCCGTTCCCTTCTCCTTCAACATCTCCGGAAGCTCTGTAGTGCCTGTCTTTAAAAGAAGGTTCGCACAGGGCTGGATATAGTTGGGGCAGAACGCCAGAATATGTTGGAGTGTTTGCCGTCCTGTCCCACATGGACAGCCTGGGGCGATTCTCGGACTCCATCCTCGCTAGCCAGTCATTTAGTCCAAGGGCTTCCGTACGAAGTAGAAAGACTGGAGTTGCTTCATGTTTAGGAAGGCCGTCATAGAGGTGTAGTGGTTAGAGGAATGGATAAATAGTTTCGGCTCCAGAAGAAAAACTCTAGAATTATATTATTATTACTAATTCTAGTTTTATGCCCCATATGGTTCCACGAAGGCCTGCAAAGACTCCACCATATATTTCGGGAAACCCTTTGTAGGGGAAAAACTATGCTCTGCCTAGACAGGCCGTTCTCCTTCTCAGTTTTGACACATCTGTTACACCGCAGTTAGCAGGACTTACTTGTGCATACCAAGTCCCATCTATCCCAAGGCCGTGAGCGGTTCCAACCCGTCGTCGGGCTGGTCCAGGATTTTTCAGCTAGGTTGAACTGGTCCAGGATTCCTTGCTGTATTAGCTAGGCAGTGACTGCTCGTACTCCTTCCAGCGTCGAGAGAAGGACTTGATGGTCCTCTGTCCCAGCCCTTTCCATATCTGTTCCCTTCCTGTAAGTCTCGGACACATTGTGACTACATGGTTCGGCGTCTGGCGTGGCCAACCGCAATCGCACTCCGGCGTACGTTCCGGGACCCCCGCCCGCGTAAGCCAGTCGTTTAGGCTAATGACCTCTGTATGGAGGAGCATGGCCATGGTGCTCTCCGCTTTTGTGAGGGTTTTATGGAAATCTACTAGAATGTGGGGAACAAGCCCCTATCTGCTCATATAACTCGTCTCTTAGAAACCTCGCTTTGAACACTTTATGCTTCATCCTAATCGACGACCTAGTTCGATACTAATCTTATGCAGTATAGTGGTAAGCTGTCTAATTCGACACAGGAATAGCCTAGAAAGCCGTAGTTGAATTGTTGTTGGATAACTGTTAAGTGATTATATAATCAGAAACTGAATAGCCTTGTAGGAATGGTAATATTGGAGGTCCGCTGCGCAATGGCTCCTAGAAACAAACATACTTGAACACTTCCAAGTTGCAAAGGCTGTTACAAAAGAATATATAGGGGACTGGGCCCCCTTCCAACTAACCCAGGCTGTGTCATAATAACCTCTCTGTTGCCTGAGCGGCAGCACTGGCAGATAGGGAACAACTATTAGCTGGTGACAAAACTCATCATAGCTATATTGGAATGTTTGAAGGTGGGGAAAGCTATATAGCTGGTGACAAAACTCATCATAGCTATATTGGAATGTTTGAAGGTGGGGAAAAAGCAAAAATTTTGGAATCCAGAGGGACATTCCTCTAGAGTCGGGTTTGCTTTGCTCTAAGCATTTGATATTACGTGTTCATAGACCCGATTGGGAACCAGGTAGCACGTTAATTTGAATTATTATTATTATTATTATTATTATTTACTGATGCAACAGAGACAGCTTAAAATAATCTCGACTATCTCTGTTCCTCAATTTTATCCGTTCTGTGCATATTTAAAATTACAATGGGCATATTCTGATTGGTCATAGCATACACCGTGAATTACTACTCACGTGATCTCGCTCATCGGCAAACTTCGGTCTCTTATCCCCGGTCCCTGACCCGGATCCTTCTCGAACATCAAGGCTTGGCACATCCTTTTGCCATCAACCTTACCACTCACCCTTCTCTGCATCATCATCACCACCAACACTTCAATTCGCCTTCCCATCGCCCGCACCTCTTCAACCACAAACACCCGTCTAAACACCCAAACAACCTCAGCAACATGCCTCGTCAACGTCAAGGAGCCGCTCCCCGCCGTCCTACGGCCGCACCTGCCCGCCAGGCTGTGACCACTCCCTCCGCTGCTCCTCACCGCCCGGCCTCAACTGCTGCGGCGCCTACCGCTTCGAGCGTTCCTCATGCGCCTGCTGCTGCTCCTGTGCAACAGAGTCAGGGTCCCGGTTTGTTTGCCAACATGGCTAGCACTGCTGCGTAAGTTGGATTCTGTTTTGCGGAAGGAGATTTGAATGGATTGGAAAAGGAAGAGATGATACGAGGAGCAGGCAATGTGTTTTAAGCACTGCATAGCCGGCACCCCTGCGGACTCTCCCTCCTTCTGTTCATCACCCCTCCCCCCCCCTCATCTTTCTATCTTCATCTCAGATACTAACAATCAACAGCGGTGTCGCAGTAGGCTCCTCCATCGGCCATGCCATCGGCGGCTTCTTCTCCGGCGGCTCCTCCTCGGCCCCCACCGAAGCTTCTCCACAGAGCACCGAGTTCGCACAGCAACACCAGCAAGTCAACACCCAAGCCGCTTCCGGCTCCGGCGTGTGCGCCGCCGATGTCAACAACTTCCGCAAGTGCATGGATGACAACAAGGGCGACTTGACCATCTGCGGGTGGTACTTGGATCAGTTGAAGGCGTGCCAGCAGGCTGCTAGCCAGTATTAGATGGCTGGAGACAGGGGCAAACGTGATATGACGAGAAGGATGTATATATAATTGCATCGAGCATTCTGGCGTTGGATTCCCATATTAGCGGTCCAAATGTAAAGTAGGAATAAGGACAATTGCATCGATATCATCACTTCTTTGCAAAGATGAATACAAGAGCATACAGCGTGTGAGATATATGCGCGTGATAACCAGGCCACTCTTCCCCCCCTCC